TTTGAATATCTCACCTACACTGCTTTTAAATTATGTATATTGGAAATTTGCCAAAAACTTTATTGTAAATAAATTCCGTTGGAAATTTGCCAATAACTTTAGTTTAATAAACTTCATTGGAAATCAAATTGGTTCATATTGAGGTCAAAAGGGTCAACAAAATTAAACTTTGTTTGATTTCATCAAAAATTGAATTATTGGGGTTCTTTGATATGCCGAATCTAACCGTGTATTTAGATTTTTAATTTTGAGTCCCGTTTTTAAATTGGTCTACATTAAGGTCCAAAGGGTCCAAAATTAAACTTAGTTTGATTTTAACAAAAATTGAATTCTTGGGGTTCTTTGGTATGCTGAATCTAAACATGTGTTTAGATTTTTGATTATGGGCCCAGTTTTCAAGTTGGTCCAAGTTGGGGTCCAAAATTAAATTTATTTGATTTCAACAAAAATTGAATATATGGGGTTCTTTGATATGCTGAATCTATCCATGTATTTAGATTTTGAATATTGGACCATAATAGGTAAATTCAAAAAAATTAAGTTCTTAGACCACATTCATTCTGTGTCAGAAACCTATGCTGTGTCAAATATTTAATCACAATCCAAATTCAGAGCTGTATCAAGCTTGACTGTTGTGTCCATACTAGCCCCAACTGTTCAGGGTTCGACCTCTGCGGTCGTATCAAGCTGCGCCCAGCGGAGCATTTTATTTTTTATTAACGATTAGCAATCAGTATACTGGACAATTGATCTGTCAAATTAATTACCTCGACGATAATTTTTTAAAAGAACAAAAGTATTTAATGATTTCAGTACACATTTATATCAAATCTTTTAAATTGAAAAAAAGTCCGGTTAACCAGTTAGCGTTTTTGGTATTCGATATTCGGTCCTTCCGACGGTTAACCGGTTAACCGTTGACAACACTAATATATATATATCATACTCATAATACAACAAGGAGACTATATCAGGCCATAAAAAAGAATAGGTTTGTTTGCCCTAACAATACCTACCCGGAAAATAGCTGCCTACTTAAAATCTTTTATTGTCCTGATGTGAAAATTATTTTTTTTATTCAAATAGGCATGAAGACTTATAAACATTGATACTTAAATTTCTCTATGCCAAAAAAAAGGAAAGAAAATGCCTACCTACCTACACATGTTCCCACTGTCTCGATGTTGGGTAGGGTTTGGGCAAACCAAAATATTTTTAAGTGTGGCCTCACTCTGACACCCAATTTTCACTGATTTTGGGTTTAACCACATTTCGGCACATGATGTTTAAGGTTTTGTTTTAAGAGTATTTGGTGTATAAAGGCATGGTACAGGATAAATTTAGAATGTACAGTACAGAATATAAAAAAAGAAGATGTGGTATGATTGCCAATGAGACAACTCTCCACAAGACACCTAAATGACACAGAAATTAACAATTATAGGTCACTGTACGGCCTTCAACAATGAGCAAAGCCCATTCCGCATAGTCAGCTACAAAAGGCCCTGAAACCTATATTATAATTATGTCAAAAATTTAATCACAATCCAAATTCAGACAGTATCAAGCTGGAATATTGTGTCCAAGATTGCCCCAATTTTTCAGAGTTTGACTTGCGCTCAGTGAAGCATTTTATTCTACTGTGTTAACCCTCTTGCTGCCAGGGTTGCATTTCATATGCCAGAAAATACGACCACTCGACGTTTGTGACGTGACATGCCAAACAATGACGTCATTCGCTATATGATGTCATGCTGTAATGACCGTTACATTTGAGAGCCATTGTAAAAACATATTACACTTTTAAATTTTCGGTCTTTTATTTTGAAAGAGGTACAGCAATGATGAGAAGCTTGCATAAATTAAAACATGGACATATGTGTCCCTCCGGCACAGTCGGTGTGGATATGTGTCCCTCCGGCAGCAAGAGGGTTAACGACCTTTTCACTGGATGATGTCAGATTTTGATTTTGTATTTCTTACATTCTTGCCAGGCCGAAAAAAATTAAAAAAAACAAAATACTAAAGCCTACGAAAGCCAGATCCTATAAAAAAAAACCTTGCAAGACATCATAATTATTTGCAGTAGGGGAATGGATTCCAGGTAAACATGCTACATTGTACATGTAAATATGAAATATAAATATACACAGAGTGTAGACATTTTATTTTTGCACTTACCAGTTGCAAGTTTGGTGTTGACATCAAATATCTTTGGCCCATGGGATGAATTGTGAGTTTTGCCCATGGCAACACGTACAAAGTCATTACAGTTATAACAATGAACAATCAGGTGACCACATAAACCAGCAGGCAAAATTCTAATTCCATCTTTTAACTTCAATGTAATGTCACATCTAGTACATCTCATGTTATCAAAAAAGGTTTTAATGTCAATTACATGTCTGGTATAACCAATTGGCTTCAATTTTCCAGAAAAATATAAATCATTTATATCATCAAAGGATGTAGAAGATTGATAAGTGTGGTCATGTTGGAAAGAACCTGGTGTAAAAGATGTATCAAAATCGGGTGTAAAAAACGTATCAAAATCGAGTGTAGATGGTGTATCAAAATCAGTTGTTGATAAATCGGGTCTAGAAATGTTGTCTAATCTGTTCTTGTAAGTCTCTGCCTGGCAGTTTTTCAAAAACCGACCGTTCTTCTTTCGGCTAGGCATGTCGTCTGGAAATTGTTTACATTGCCGTTAATGGCGCGAAACTATGTCGTAAACAATAATAACAGAATAAATGTAAATAAAATATGACTACGATCGCAAATAGTTTTATTTTATCATTTTGGTGCCTAAAGTAATCAGAACAGGTAATGTCTACATTTATTTTAGGTCTTATGTTAAAACCGTTAGACCTACAACCGAAAACTGCCCGAGTTTCGCAATATTCAAATACGCGTTCTAGATCGGGCCTCGTTAATAGCAGACTTATTCCTGTACTGTTTTGAATCAGAGTATATGAACAAATTAGGAAAAAATAAACACGTCTAAATTCCATATAATTGATAATTCAACAAACTCAGTATTTTTGTTATTTCAACTTTTACCGTTATCTTGATGATTTAATTTTATGTTTCGTAAATAATCAGAATTCATTCTTTAAATAAACTCCCGAAGTTTACCCAAAGGAATGTTCATAAAATAAAACAAAAATAAACAGCCTAATTGTCTTTTCCTAGATTCAGTTTTTAACAGGAACCTGTACACAAAAAAGACGACACAAAGGACTCTTGATTACTAAAACCATTATTTTTCTATGAAATGGATTTCTGGTCGTTCTGTTAGTCGTGATACAATTGTAACATTTTGAATGTTTAAAATATGTTTTGTTTCCGTTAAAACAAACCGCACTTCGTTTTCGTACATGTAACAATTTTTAATATATGTACAACAAATGTAATATATCATTATTTTGTTTGTAATAATTTCATTATGAAGCTGTACCTGTATGTAGTCCGACTATCTGGATCATTATAAAAAAAAAGAGAATAAGTTTTAATACTCAATGAGACAGATTTATACAAACGATCAAATGGAGTAGATGTACATATAAGCAACTAAAGGTCTTCGTGCGGTTTTTAACAATTTAAAATAATGTGTCAATAGGTAAGCATAAACGGCTCCGAAATGACTAAAAGTAAAACAAAGTAATTTCGAACGAGTAAACATCAAGCCTGATTTATTATAAACTAATAAACAGCAATCTCATATGGCATACAGCAAGAAACTAACGTTATCATATGAAAAAACAGGCCACAAACGTAGGATAGGCATATCGGTGTTTAACATGATTGCGAGCAATTAATCCAACCAACTTTGGAGGGTTAATTGCTTTTATTTGTCTTTTATTTGCCTTTTTGAATATTACTTTTACTGTTGTTGGTGATATCCATTTGACGTGGCTCGGTACGTATACACCCCGTCATTGTGTTATTGTGTTATATATATATGGTAATTTTTGTATACTTGTCCTTTATTTTTTCTTTGTGTGTTTTGTCTACTTATATGCTTTTTTGTGTTTCTTTGTTATATATTTATTTGTTGTTTTTGGTGATTAAAAACAGGTTTCATCCACAATTTCTACATACGAAAATGCCTGTACCAAGTTAGAAGTATGACAGTTGTTATCCATTCGTTTGGTGTATTTGAGCTTTTTTTGCTTTTTGATTCGGGACTTCCAATTTGATTTTTCCTCGGGTTCGGTATTTTTGTGATTTTACTTTATTTTGGAATAGGAACGAAACAGCACGAAATAATATCTAACCATATTAGTTAGAAAGGGCTAATTCTCTCAATTTGGCACGAAGCGAATATTAATAAACCAGAGCCAAAACGTCAAAAAGTCAAAAGACAGCGAATACCGATCGTCGAAGGGTACTCGCAATTACTGAAAGCTAGTTTTAATCAAACTACACTTATAAAAATCATATATTTACTGACTGTACTCACCCCGTCAATTGATCAAGTTAAATTTAATGCTAATAAAGATTTGGTCTCCTGTAGACCACTTAGAATACGTATAAATGCCTTGCTAGTTGTTTTTTCTATTGGTTTGAACTGTCTTTTCGGAAGTGGTTGAAAGGGTCGATATTTGTTTTTTCTTATATTAATGATTACAATAGCCGTCTTCACGGTCATTGCAGCCAAACATTTAGAATAGAGGCAACTTTTGTGGATAGAGGTCGAAGTAGTATGAACATACAGGAAATCCTATGCATGTTTCAAAGAACCCGTTCTGTTTCAAGGACGTTCTCTCATGGTAAGTATAGGTCATACTAAAAGGTGATTTAAATTGCATTTGTATATTGGCTGTCAAGAACGATGAACTCGTTTTGATTTGTCATGTCCATGAACGGGTATTTTTCATGAAATCACGAAATGATTTTAATATTGAGTGATCATATAAAAATGAGTTAGATGACTGTATTGATAGTTTCTAGCTGGCAAGTTTTTTGTTCTAAATAATGATATATTTCCTTTTTTGTAGGACAATTAAAAGAACAGAATGATTTCCGCCGATATAATATACAAGGTAAGAAATATAGAAACATACATATTACATCTTAAAATAAGTTAATCAGTTAATGCTTCATTTCGGTTAGTTCGTTTTTATAGTCTCTGGTCATTATATATAAATCAATTTTCAAATGTCCAATGGCATATGCAAAGTTGTTTTTCTTTCATATTTAGCATTGCATACACTTTTCATGGTTATTTTAAATGACAGACAATTTGGAGATGAAGTTGAAGTTTATCGTCAAGTGTTTGTCATATCCATAAGTGATATCTGCAGATAGTCTAATCTGATTCACTCCCCTCTGTTATGAATATCCGTTCGTTGATAAACATTTTAAAGATCCAACAAACTACCACATTTTATATTTTTCATAAGTACTTGCAAAAATGCATTTGATATTTTCTCCCTTACAGTTCAGACATATGAAATTTTTATAAATCAATTGAACGTTTTAGTTGATCTTAGACCTTTTTGTTGACAAAGACATTATAATTTCTAATGGTAGTGTTGATACAAGAATAAAACTTTTGTGTACACGTTATCATTTTTTACGATGTACAGAAGAATTTATAAATCATAATTTCAGAATGTTTTGCATTTTAAAAAAAATTCTGAATCTAAATTATTCCAGATTCAATTTTTGTTTTGTTTTTACATTAAAAAGAGCTGCACCCTTCTTTGCATTTTAATGAGATGTACCGGTTTAAAAAAAACATTTAACTTAATGACGTAGCGAAATTGTACAAAATGATAACTTGTACACAACACACATAGCAAAAGGGACCATTTACTTGATATAGTGTTAAATGTAGATGTATTTATTGTTTATGTAGTTAAGTTGATGTCAAAATGACAATCATATACTTAACATATCTTTATGGTACGCAGATTTTTAAGATGAAACCATTTCAGTGACACGTTAAAACTGTTATGACGTCTTTTTTACTGAATCCATTGGATTTGTACTGAATGAGACTTTAGTCTTGGAAACATGATAATGTTTATAAGGTTTTTTTTGGGGGGCATTAACTAGCTTTCAGTAGCTGCGAGTACTCTCGTATCAGTACTTTGTGTCTGCAAGCTGACGTCTTATAATTGTAAGTTTATTTTCGTGTGTGCAATGAGTTTATCTGATTTGTCTGTTCTTTTTCAAGTGTTTTTTGTGTTGTCTACGACTACAGTTGCGGAAGGTGAGACATAGGTACTGCTTTTTCAGACAGCTTCGATGTCCTCCAGCGACTGATAATTAATAAGCCATTTTGAAGGTTACGTTTTCCGCTAAATTTAGTTTGAAAGGGACGACTTTTTATATAAAGTTGCATTTCTATGATTTTAACTCTATTTATCGATCATGTCGAGGCTGTAACCCCGTATATGATTGTCCAGTGAATTTCAACTAATTACCAGTTTTCAATGTTTAGGAAGCTGGATCGTGATTTTTAATGTAATTAACTCTTTCCATACATGCATTTTTGCACCCATATGGATGTCTTCTTTCAATAAAAGAGACCAAAACATAGGTCAATGTGCTAACTTTTCTTGTAGCTGCCTATTTATGGACATATCGTTTCGGTCATGTTTTTTTTGCACAATATTTCTATAATTAGCCCATCATAAATATTACGATCCACAGAAGTGGCAATTACTCTATGGTCTTCTTTTTTCATATATAATGCATCAAAATAATTCATTTAGTCAGCACATTGAGAAAAAAAAATTCTGTACGACAAAACAAAAAATGAGAGGTGATACATACCATATTTTCACCCATTTTGCAACAAATATTGAAGTTGACACTTCATTTCAAATGTAATCTAAATATATGAAATAGACATCAACTTTTGATCCCAAAGATATATTATGTAGAATGCATTCATATGTTCATTTGACTTTTCTACACTTTACACAAGTATTCCCCATTCCAAACTAAAAGACAAATTGAAAGAGTTGGTATTACTTTGTTTTATTAAAAAGAATGGCGAACGTAGATACAAGTATCTTGTCTTGGGGAGGGATAAATCCTATTTTGTAAAGAATCACTCTGATTCAAACAAAAAATTCTCTGAAACTGACATTATCAAGATGCTTGATTTCTTGATTGACAACATATTTGTTACGTTTGGAGGACGTGTTTTTCAACAGACTGTCGGAATTCCAATGGTAACCAATTGTGCCCCTCTTCTTGCCGACTTGTTTCTTTATTATTATGAGGCTGACTTCATACAGGAGCTTCTTAGGAAGAGAGATAAGAAGTTAGCAATATCCTTTAACTCTACGTTCCGCTATATAGATGATGTTCTCTCACTAAATAATACAAAATTTGGTGACTATGTTGAACGAATCTATCCCATCGAACTAGAGATAAAGGATACTACAGATACAGTTAAGTCTGCCTCATATCTTGACTTACATCTAGAAATTGACAATGAGGGTCGGTTGAAAACAAAACTTTTTTACGACAAAAGAGATGATTTCAGCTTCCCAATTGTGAACTTTCCATTTCTATGTAGCAACATTCCAGCAGCGCCTGCATACGGAGTATATATCTCCCAATTGATACGATATTCCCGGGCTTGTGTTTCCTATCATGATTTCCTTGATAGAGGATTGCTGCTCACAAGGAAGCTATTAAACCAAGAGTTCCAAATGGTGAAGTTGAAGTCATCCCTTCGTAAATTTTACGGACGCAATCACGAGTTGGTTGACCGTTATGGAATAACCGTTTCACAGATGATATCGGATATGTTCCTTATGTCGTAACTACAATACCCTTCCCTTTTCACGAATGTGACTTACCGAATTATACTATTTACCGGATTTGTAATAACATAAGCAACTCGACGGGTGCCACATGTGGAGCAGGATCTGCTTACCCTTCCGGAGCACCTGAGATCACCCCCAGTTTTTGGTGGGGTTCGTGTTGCTTAGTCTTTAGTTTTCTATGTTGTGTCATCTGTACTATTATTTGTCTGTTTGTCTTTTTATTTTTGGCCATGACGTTGTCAGTTTGTTTTCGATCTATGAGTTTGACTGTCCCTCTGGTATCTTTCGTCCCTCTTTCATAGTACACCAAAAAATAAAAAAAAGCATGTCACAGTCAAAGCACAAAAAAAAATGCTATAAAAATGTTTTTTTCTTTCAGAGTGATAAGGTTGAAAAATAATTCATACATTTGTTTATTGATAATTGAATACTTACTTACAAATGGACTTTAAATTAAAAATGAACTAGACCCATACAAAATGGACACCTAATGGTAAATCTATGTTCAACATTCATGGTTTTGAAGTTAAACAAACAACAAACTGTAATGATGTCACTACTAAGCGAACCAACAATTACATTAGAGCCTATCTTTCAGGTGCAGCTGAAACCTTAACCTTAAACATAAATAATCAACGCCTCGTTTATTAGCATATTTTTAAAGAAAGTATGTCAATTAAAAGGTCATGCCTTTTCCATAAATTAACTCATCTTGTTGCAGTCATTTGTGGATTAAAACAGTGGTATTGACTTTGTTTCTAGAATCCATAGATTTTTTTGCTGGAACCTTATAACTTGAGAAGATTTATTGTGTTTTTGTGAGTAACCTGTGAGTTGTTTACATGATTTCATAATGGCGGTAGACTCTCATGAAGCTCAAATCCAGAGACACTTATCTATTCACTTCGGTATTAGTTTCACCAAGGGTATTACACATACTGATGAAAGAATGTATAGTTACAGTACACGACCAGAACACAAAACATGCATTACTCACACGAGGAATAAACTTGAAAAACCGTTACATCAAAATGGTAGATTTTGAACAACTAGTTACAAATGTGACTATAAAAGATGCCCCGTGTGAAATGAGTGACATTACAATATGTGGCCATATTTCAAAATTTGGTGATGTTGTGCATGAGTCCCTCCGCAGAGGTCTAATTAAAGAAACGAATATCGAGACCGGCACACGCTATGTGCAACTAACAAACTGTATTCCAATAATTCCAACCGCAACCAAATTCGGGAGATTCAGTGTCAGGGTATTCGCAGACAATAACAGGACAGAGTGTCCGTACTGTACGAGAACAGATCATCCATCTTATCGATGTGCAAACAAACCCTCCCGTCAAAATCAAGCGGCACGCAAATGTTATCGATGCAACAGTACTGCACATATAATAAAAAGTAAAATCACAAAAATACTGAACTCCGAGGAAAATTCAATCGGAAAGTCCCTAATCACATGGCAAAATCAAATGACAAAACACATCAAACGAATGGACAACAACTGTCATATTCCTGACTTGGTACAGGCATTTTCAAATGTAGAAAATGGTGGATTGAACCTGGTTTTATAGCCTCTCACTTGTACGACAGTCTTATCAAATTCCGTTATATTTACAACGATGCGTGAACAAAACAGACATTATAAATAAAATAGTCAAAATATGGGTACAGCAATCATCACTGTGTTACAATATCAAAACAAACAAGTATTTACAAAAAAAGCACAAAAGCATCTATCAAATTAAAAACCACATTCATTGCTTCGCGTGTCTGACGTCAGAAAATGTAAACGTCACATAAGAAAAAAGTTTGTCATTCAATGTTTATTCAAAACAATTTTATAATTTCACATGGGGAATGTTGGTATACAGGGTTAAAAAATCAAAAGTTATGTTAGAATTAATTTCAGAAATAGACCGAGATTTAAAATTGTCCAGAAGTTCTTTAGAATTTTAAAGAATCCACATATGGTAAATACCACTACGCGAGTAAAATAAATTTGTCGTTTGTCGTTCAAAGTATTTTCAAATTTATAATAGAACAATAACATAATGACATATAATAGAACAATAACATAATGACGGGATCTTTTAAAGTACAGAGTCACGTTATAAGAACCACGTAAACACAAAAAGTCGCATATACAAAACACACCAGCAAAAATGAAAGATAATACAAACACATTGACGGGATGTATAAGTACCTAGCCACGTCAAATGGATATCACAGAAAACAAACCA